GGCGCACGGGCCCGGAGGCCCGGATCACCACCGCGCGCAGCCCCCGGGCCCCGGCCCGTGCTCCTGCGGCAGCTCCCTCTCAGGCTACAGAGAAAGTGGGACGCGCCACCAGCGCGTGAGGGCTTCGTGCCATCATAGCTGTGGCTATGACCTAGGAAAGGAGAGCTGGGTCCGACCACCTGAGCAATATGGCACGACCCGCCCTGGGGGCCTATAAGAAGAGATGGCTGGGCCTCTGGCCTCGCAGTGCGCTGTCTATAAAACAGAGTTTAGAACATTTTAGGGAATAAAGCATCCGAAAGACAGATCTGTGTGTTCGCAGCGTTCGGGGGGTAGCTCTTATTGTAACAAGGCTAGAGACACCCCCTGAGAATCTCCTCTTCCCGGGACCCTGGGGCCAAAGGCAGAAAAACTACCCTGTGTCTCGACCCTTGTGGCTTTGAAGGATGTGGCCAGGAAATGGGCAGCTCTGGCAGGAGAAGCTGCACCCATTTTGCAGAGTGTAATGTGAAACTCAGATGAGGAATCTGCCTTCGGGGAACCGAGATTTGGGCGGAACATAGGTGGATTAGTAGGTTTAGGCGGCAGATTCCAGTTTCCAGAGTAGAGGGCTCAGAACTGTTTTGGGAAAGTGTGCTTGTGAAGGTGCAAAGTTGGAGACCAAGAGCCAGGACAGGGCATGGCCACCTTAGCTCCTCAGTGTTCATTCCCGTGCCATCATAGACCCTCCTATCAGAACAGCATTGCAGCCCGGGCCTCAGTTTGCCCATCTGTAAAGGGAGAATACCAGCTAGGGTCTGCACTCACTAAAGAGGAGCAGGAAGGCACTTGGCTCTTCCCTCGATAGCTAATGGGCCCTTGAGCTCCTTCCCAGCCCTCAGAGGCCAGGCTTTGTACCCTAGACTCCAGCCTGAGCGGCTTCCCCCCGACATCCTTCCGCAGCCACTCGCGAATCAGCCTTCGTGCATGCCATCGCCTCGGCTGGTGTAGCCTTCGCGGTCACGCGCTCCTGCGCCGAGGGTACCTCCACCATCTGCGGCTGCGACTCGCATCATAAGGGGCCACCTGGAGAAGGCTGGAAGTGGGGCGGCTGCAGCGAGGACGCCGACTTCGGGGTGCTTGTGTCGCGGGAGTTCGCAGATGCACGGGAAAACAGACCGGATGCCCGCTCGGCAATGAACAAGCATAATAACGAGGCAGGCCGCACAGTGAGTCAGCTACCCACAGCTCGGGGAGCCCCAGCAGGGATTCCTGGCCCATCCACACCCCAAAGTACTCCCTTGAGCACCCTCCTTCCTTTCCACCCAGCTGCCCCTGAGTAGGTTGTTATTTTTTTTTTTTTAATCTAAGTACCTTTGCTTATTCATCGTCTCTGTGTACGTGTCACGCTGTGTGTGTGGAAGTCGGAGGACAACTTGTAGGAGTCAGTTCTCCCCAGCATGTAGGTTCTGGTATCAAACTCAAATCGTCACATGTGGCCCTGTTCCTGGTTCTCTGGGGGATCTGCCAGGGAGTGTTGCTGCCCTGTAGGAGCAAGCACCTGCAGACTAACTATACTATAGTATGCTGCTTGGCAGGCGGAGTCTGTGCAAGCCTGTGATGTGGTGGTGGGGTGGGAACTGACTTTAGGAGTCCAGCCTTCCCCCTTCCTCTGGTTGTGGAACCTTGAGCCCATCGCTTGGCTCTCTCAGCGACAGCCTTGAAGGGGCCCAACAGTCAGTACCACTTGGGTGAATGAGGCGTGAACGTGAAGCCTGCCGGTGCTTGTGGGTGTGACTAGGGACACTGGTTTCCATCCATTCTTCCTGGCACTGAGTAAGGGTGAAAGAGCGCGTGGGACAGGGGGGCAGGTGCCCCAGGTGGGTCAGTCTGGGCTAGCTGCTGCTCCTTTTCCCCAGACCATCCTGGACCACATGCACCTGAAGTGCAAATGCCACGGGCTGTCGGGCAGCTGTGAGGTGAAGACCTGCTGGTGGGCCCAGCCCGACTTCCGCGCCATTGGCGACTTCCTCAAGGACAAGTACGACAGCGCCTCAGAGATGGTGGTGGAGAAGCACCGGGAGTCCCGAGGCTGGGTGGAGACCCTGCGAGCCAAGTACGCACTCTTCAAGCCACCCACCGAGAGGGACCTAGTCTACTATGAGAACTCCCCCAACTTCTGTGAGCCCAACCCTGAGACGGGCTCCTTTGGCACCAGGGACAGGACTTGTAATGTCACCTCCCATGGCATCGATGGCTGCGATCTTCTGTGCTGTGGCCGCGGCCACAACACGAGGACGGAGAAGCGGAAGGAGAAATGCCATTGCGTCTTCCACTGGTGCTGCTACGTCAGCTGCCAAGAGTGCATCCGCATCTATGATGTGCACACCTGCAAGTAGGGGGCCAGGTAGGGCGTGGGGCGGGGCGCAGGGCGGCGCGGGGCGGGGCGCGGGGCGGGGCGGGGCGCAGGGCTGCTCTCCCCTCGTCTCTGTTTCTAAGCTTCCCAAGACAAACAAGTTCCCCCAGCCGAAGTGGGAATCCAGGGCTTCCCACACTTCCATGGGAACGGTCTTGGGCAGTGACGTAGCAGATTTACACCAGGCTCAGGTATTAACCAACGGTGTGCACATAAGCCACAGGCAATTGATTAAACATTTTACACAAATTAGCAATGATGAGCTAGACCAGATTTGTTCATGGCTGCCGGCTGTCGTTACTGAGCATCTGTGCAGCCAGAAGAGAGAGGCTGAGGTCTGGTCCCAGCCGTGCCCCCAATTTTCATTTCTTAGGGCCTCAGTGTCCTCACTGTCCAAGGAGGAGAGGTTCAGATACCAGAAACAGGATCTGGGTATAGTGGTACTGGCTTTTAATACCAGCACTCAGGAGGCAGAGGCAAATAGGTCTCTGTGACTTCGAGGCTAGTCTGGTATACATAGAGAGCTCCAGGACAGCCAGGAATACATAGTGAGACCCTGTACAAAAAAAAAAAAAAAAGAAAAAGAAAGAAAAGAAAGAAAGAAAGAAAGAAAGAAAGAAAGAAAGAAAGAAAGAAAGAAAGAAAAGCCTGAAACAGTGGGTTGGAAAGTCTCTCATGCCCTGGGGCAGAGTCATTTCACATCAACCATGAACTAAGAGGGCAAGCTTTGGCCTAGCACAAATCCTCCAGAGCTTGGGGAGGTGGGTGGGGGAGCAAGATCTTGGGCGGAGCAGGGAGCATTCTCACCAAGTTTATGGAGGGAGATGGGAAAGAGAAAGGATCCCAGTTCAGAGTGGCTGTGGTGAGTAATCACGGGATAAAAGGCTGGTGGATTATGCTTCCAAGCTTCCCAGAGGTGGTCTGCGTGGGAGGACCCCAGGGAAGGTCAGCCTAGAAGCAGAGTGGCCCTAAAGTCTCTGACATGGGTGCTTCCTAAGGCCAGCGGGGCCCTTCTCTCCATCCCTCTCCCCTGAGAAGGGTCTGCCCTGCATCCCAGGCTTTGCAATTAGGTCCCCCCACTTGTCAACCAACCCTGACTCTAACAGCTGTTACTCTTCCTGAGCTGCTGTGAGGAATGAGGGGAAGAACACCGGGGAATGTGCTTGACTGATGGAAAAGCAGCTCTCTGTCCATTTATGGCTGGCCAGGGCAATGTGTTCCACCCAAGCACCTTGGAGCCAGCCGGTGACACACTGGAGCTGGTAGCTCACGTTTGCCCTGTGTAGGGCTGGGAGGTACCTGGCATCACAAGAACTACCTCTGATTGAAGGGTTGACGCCTCTCTCAGTCCATCTAAGAATCCCCCGTAGGGTGTACGTTCCATCCCGGCAGGGTCTAGAACCATAGAGGAGGGGGGAGTTTTCTGTATCAAGGTCAAGGGTGGGGAGGACTGCAGTGGAGGCCCAGCACTTCGCTTGCCTGCTCTTGAACCTTGGACTCCTTGCTGACTTCCTCACATGCACAGCGATGGTGGAATGGGCACCTTTCTGAATTTTTATAAAGCTCAAGTTGGCGACTGTGAATGCTAACTCTGAAGGTAGCTCTAATCAGAAATGTCAGGGAAGGCGTCAGAGCGTCATCACCGGGCTGCTGCAAAGGAACAGCGTCTTGGCAGTCTTCTGCTTTTCGGAAGGACAGGAGAAGGGTCAGTGAAAACCATGGGTGGTCCCTTTCTCTGAGACCCTCCATGGTATGATGTGACCCTGCTGTCACAATCAGATGACACCCGCTCTGGCCATTTTGAGGAGATATGTAGGTGTAGTCTCCTTCTGGCCAGGTAGGAGGGCCATTTGTCTAGCCCGCCCATTTCACTGAAGGACAGACTGTATTAGTGGCCTCAACAGACTCATGTGCTTGCCCCCAGAAGCCCCCTATGTCGTCTTGCTAGGGCCACAGCACCCCCAGCCCAAGCCTCATATTGGACCCATGGAGGCAGTGTGGGTCCCAGATACAGATCCTGTGACTCAGTCCTTGCCCATGTGGACAACTGAGATCCTCCAGGCCGAGAAGGAAGTGCTGGGTTGGTCTTTGAAGTCCAGGAAATCGCTCCGCTCCAACCCTTGTACTAAAAATCATCCCCTAAGAAGAATCAGGGGTAGCTGGGTAGTGGAGTACATACCTGTCAAACTCTGGGTTCACTCTCTAGTGCCGGGGAGGAAGGAAGGGAAGCAGCCCCCTTTCTCCAGTTTCTGTGATAAACACTTGCTGGTTTTCCAGTATCATGCAGATATGGTTTCAAGACCATGTAGATCACAGCCTCAGTCCGTCACATAGTGGGGCTCTCAAACTCACACCTGATAAGAAGGGAGCTCTCTCCCACTGTGAGGTCTTTTGCCTCGCTGAGCCTGGGTTTCCTCTTGATAAGATCTGTGTCCTGCTGGGCTGCTGGGAACTAGACCCAGTCATGAAGAGCCTGGCCCAGTGCTCAGACTCCCGGGGCCCATCAGGGCTGGTCAAGAGTTCCTTTCTCCAGGCTCTTGCAGCCTGCTTTGCAGGAAGCTGGTTGAGACCTGTTTCCTTCCTACCCTCTCACCCCTGTGGGTGCTACTACTACTGATGGAACCCAAGAGACCATCAGACAGGGAGACAGCAGGCAGAGACAGTCTCTGGCATTTTTCTTGGCAGAACAGGCAGAAAAGGAGCCGCAGGGCAGGGCAGGGCAGGCCACGTGCCCTCCGTACCCTCCGGGGAGAGCTCAGCACAGTGGCAGCATCCCCGCCCTGCCTAAGTGGGGAAGATACTTTCTCCATTGCTTGGGTTTTGTCCACTGTCTCCAGTTAGCTGCTGGCTTGGTACCCAAATACCGGCAGTTTACAAGCATTGGGTTTATGCTTTTTATCGCTATGTTGAAAAAGCTACGGACCCAGTCACCTCATCTAACTGGCCATGTGTCCTGGGTCTGTCACTAGTCTTTTGTGGAACCTTGGGCATATCCAGGTCATCTTGCGCTGCCTGTTTCAGCTCTGCCTGCCCCACAGCTGAGGGTTGGCTGGGGCTTCCTGGGAGGTGATGGCCTTGGTACCTCAAATCCTGCCGGATAGGACTGTACAGAGGAATCAACATTCTCAGTAGAGCATTCTGGGAAGGGATTCAATCATAATTAGTTAAGTTGGTTCCCTTTCTTTTGGACAATTCATAGCGAGCTGCTGGTGCCTGAGCAGAAACACATACCATGACCTTCTGGTCAGTCCCTCAGACTACCGGGTTTCTCCATCTCTACGTGGAATAGAGCTGCCATAGTTACTAGTTGCTTACAGCGGGCTTCCTCAGCTAGAAGGTTTTATTTATTTTTTATTTTTTATTTTTTTTGTGGATGCAGGCTCCGCTGTTCCTGCTGATGGCATGTCCTCCCTCCACAGCAGGCTCTGAGGTTAGGAGAGAGCAAGACCAGCCATGTCAACAGCCTGTGATCTTTGCATCCCAGGGGGTGATGTCAACAGCAGTTACTAGGTTTCTGACTCTTCCTGTTTATTTCCCAAAGGGCACTGGGAAGGGGTAGATCGTGCCGCTGGATCCATTCATCGAAGTCCCACGGGAAGCAGGATCTAGATCTGGGCCAGCCTTCAGCACTGGCCAGCAAGGAGCGTAGACTGTTTGCCAGCTGCATGTGATACACGACCTGGACCCAGGCGGCTTCGGACGGGAGGCCCTTCTTTCTCATCTAACGTTTCTCACCCTGCTCTGGATGGTGTGTGGCTTTACAGAGGGGCTTTCTTTTTTGGTTTTCCAGGGTCTGCTGGGGACAGACCCGAGGCTTACCTTTGCACATGTTAAAGAAAATAAAAGTGAAAAAAAAAAATTCTACTGCAACAGAACAGGCTGGGCTAATGCGAGCTCTTGGCCTGGTGGTAAAGACAAGAGCATGGCAAGAGTCTGTCTCCAAGCTGCCTCTACTCATGACATTCCAAGATGCCTCTGAGGTGGGGGTTGTGAAACAGAACAGAGCCCTGCAGTCCCTTTTGTCCATCTACTCCCATTCAAATTGACACACTTTCCCATTCTGAGAAAAGCCATAGGGATAGCCAGGATGCAGTGGCGGGAGGCCCTGGGCCGTTGTCGGAGCAGGATCTTGAGTTTTGAAGAACTCAGAATTCTGGACGGCCTGGGAAGCCATTTGAAGAATAGCTGAGTTCCTCTTAGGCTCATGTTTTTTTTCTATAGCCCTGCTCTGCATTAGAAATAGTCAGATCTCAACATCTGTTTCTGTCATTCCACAGCTTCTACCTGCCACTGCATCTGCCTGTCATGGTGGCCCTTGTAAATAGGTTAGATGTGCAGGCAAGTCTCTTCCAGCTCCATGCTCTCCCTGCAGGAAGAGGGGGCTGCTCCGCCCTTCTCAGTCCCACTCACCAGCAGACACTAGGGAGAACAGCTGGACACCTTAGTTAACTAACAGCCCCAGTGTGGAAACAATCATCTCGCGATTCCAAATCTGCAGCTGGCAGGCGGGGAGGGTGAAGATTCCCGTTTCCCTTGTGTTAGGAGGGCAGGGCCTCCCCGGGTCCTTCCCTCCCTTTGGCGTGAATAACCCAAAAGACAAGAGAACCTGAACACAGGGCTTCCCTTCCGCCACCTGCAAGTGAGGTCGCCTATCTCAGTTCCCAAGATCTGGAGTTGATGCTCAGAGGAGGCAAGACAGAGGATGAAGCCTCTCCCAACTGAGTTCTGATGCACGGGGTCCTGGCTGGGGTTAGGAAGATGGGCGTGGCAGCGTGGATCAATCCATCAACTCTGTCTTAAGGAGACTCAGAAAGCGGAGATGCGACCGAGGAATGGAGCAGAGCAAGGATCTGTCCTTCCCCGCTTCTGTCTGGGGTCTGCTAACTCTGACTTGACATCCGGGCAGTTACTTAACTTTCCTGTCAGGCAGTTGGCTTGCCAAGTGTAGGCCCTCGCCTGCACTCCCTACCCTGTGACACTGAGCACTGTTCAAGGCACACCACCTCCCACCCCTTCCTAGCATCCCAAATGCCCCCTCCCACCTCTCCTTCCAGAAGTCTGAAATCAAAGTCAACTGGATAATGCTTGCTATTATGAGGACACTTCAGCAGAACGGATACAAAATTTAAAAGTCTTTTCATGTCTATGTATTCTATATTAAAAGTGATAAAGTCATGTTTCTGGGGTGTATTCAAGTAGCTGACAAGTAATTATTTAATAATAGTACATGAGTGCATTGTAATTATCCTCGCCATAGTCAGGTAATAGTATCCAATGGGAATTTCCTACCAACCTGCTGTATCCAAAGTTTTGTAAAAAGTTGTAGAAGTTGTTGATCTTTTTGATTTTATATTCAAAAAGTCTCTTTTTATAAATATTATTTATTATATAATGTATATACCTTTGAGTTAACTAAGATTATATATTATATAAATATATATATATATATATTTGGAGAAAAATCTATTTCATCATACAGTTTTTTTCCATTAAGTCATTAAAGAAAAGGTAAACTTCAAACAGATACATTGTACAATGTGTGGAGTCTCCAGATTCATCCTTAGATCAAGGGTATCTGAAGGTCGTGGCCTTTGCTAATTAAATGGCCACATTACGGTCATTTCCTCTGCTCTCTAAGCAAGATGAGATGTCATGGACAGCAGATGTGACATGAGACTTAAAGGATTGCTTGATACTAAGTCAACATCAAACAAGGTATTTCCAATATGGGAAAGAACAAATTTGGTCAGTAATTCATTCGCAGACTTGAACATTTTCAACATGTATGCTGATGTCTCAGATATTTCTAAAAGATGTGGCCCAGGGCTGGCCGGCCATTATCTTACTCCCCTCCTCGCCACATTGTCCACTCTGTCTGCTGGGGAATGAAGAACTGCTCTGCTGAAAACAAAGCTGGACCAGAACTGGCTGCCCCCGCCTCCTGCCAGCTCCAGATAACAGCTGAACTGTGGAGGAGGTAAGTAGGCTGGCAAGATGGTGTGTCCCACCTGGGCTCTGGACCACTTGACACTGGAATTGTAGGTTGGTTTGGACAGATAGAACTTGCTGGGAACTCTGGGAAGGACACCCGCTCCTTGGGCTGGAGTTTCAGGAAGACTCACTTGAGGCCCTCATCCCATCATCTTTTTTTCCGTTGTTGTTGATGTTTTTGTTTTTCAAGATAGGGTTTCTCTGAGTAGCCTTGGCTATAGAACTAGCTTTGTAGACCAGGCTGGCCTTGAACTCACAGAAACCTGTCTGCCTCTGTCTCCTGAGTGCTGGGATTAAAGGCGTGCAGTTTTATGACTTTAGTTCTCAGACCTACCTACAAAACATCCCTATAACAAGAAATCCACGGAATCTGTCTAAAGAGCAAAGAATTTATTAAGGAGAAAAACTCACTGTACAGAACAGAATTGACACAGGTTCTGGATCCAAGTCCCACGAGGGAGCAAAGAGAGCGAAGCCTACCTGAAGCTCAGGTCTTAAGGGTCACTGAGAGGCCACGCCCCAGGGGCAGGTACTTCAAGGTCATAGGCAGGTGGAGCAGTTACCCGCTGCATCTCTAGGGTGGACCTTCAAGATGATAGAACAGCTGCCCACTACACGTCCCTTTCAGTGTTTCTGGCACTCGCTTCAGAGAAGAGCTAAAGAGTTTTTTCGTTTGTTTTTCTGTTTTTCCTTTCTTTCTCCTGGTCTACCACTATTAGAAATAACAGTGACTTGCACTGCCCCGTCAGAAAATGAGGTAATGGCCTTCTGATGGTGGAGATGGGTTGCCAATACCAGGTCCCTTGCCTTACACCCCACGGACCACAAGAACCTCCTTTTGATGCATCTTTCACCCCTAGAAATCTTGTCCCACTTGCGAGAAGCACCTCAAGGGTAGAGGCAGAGCTGGCTTGAGCAGCTGGCCATCTTTTATTCCATTTCACTTTTCCATGGGGTAAATACTCTCCCAGCATTCTGGGTTTTATTTTTTATTTTTTTAAACCTACAAGATTGCCAAATATTTAAATAGTCCCTAGTCATACTTAGTAAGGCTATCTGTATCCTATGACCATCGTATTCTATTAAGGAGAATACAATCTATAGCTGAGCTTGAACATTAGTTAGAAACACTGGACAGAGAATGTTTTAAGTTGTACGTGGTGGAGCGTGCCTTTAATTTAAGCACCTGGGAGGCGGAGATGGGTGGATCTCTGTTCTAGGCCAGCCAGTGCTACACAGTGAGACCTCCTCTTAAAAAAAAAAAAAAAATTTTTTTTTTTTGAGTGAAGAAAATGGGACAATATTGTGAGGTTTTATTCAAAGCAATATTATTCTGAAGACAGGCTGTTGAGTTTATGGATGAGGCACAAGTTCAGGGAGAAGAGCTAGCTAAGGAGAAAGCTAGGAGAAGCAAGGCAAATGGAGTGAGGCTGTTCTGGGTGGACCTTCTGGTTTTCTCGTGTGTTGCTGGGCATATCTGCATGAACAGCCGGTCTACACTCAGGAAGTGAGTTCAGCAGAAAGTATGGTGTTCCACTGCCATGCCTGGCTTAACAGAACTTGGCTATCTCACCACTGATCAATCCCCAGACAGTGGCTGTCCACTATGGAGACTGCCGAAGAGTCACAAATACGCGCCATTGCAATTTCAGAGTGGACACAGTCTCATTCTGCAGTGATGGCTACCCTGGCACTATGTAGACCAGGCTGGCCTCAAAGTTGCGCTGATCCTCCAGCTCGGCCTCCAGAGTGCTGGGATTACAGGTGTGCACCCCCTTGGGGCTCCTGCGGACCACAGGTGTTATGGGCGCATCTTGATGCCATGGTGTCGGTGTGCTCGCGCTCACCTGGATGTCACTGGGGTGCAGCCTCAGCAGTTGCCAGTGGCTTTCATTCTGCGCTAACTTCTAAAAGCAAACCGAAATCCTGCCTTTGCCTTCTGTGTCTGGTCAGGTGGCTATGGATAGTTGACTCTGCTTCCGCAGGTCTGTTGATTAGGGTTTGATTATTAGACATAACTGAATCTCCTCCATAATTCCAGGATATATGGTCAAAACTTAGAGGCTGCTCACTGTAATTTTTAGGCTACAATAAGACAATCTTAAAACACATTTTGGATACTAACTACATACATATACATATATAATACATACATAAATACAAGTGCTGAGATTAAAGGTATGTGCCATCAGCTTGGCCTAAAACTTAGTTTATGTGTTTTGCTTGCATATATATCTGTGTACCACATGTGTGAGTTAGAGACAGTTGTGAGCTGCCATGTGGATTCTGGGTATCAAACCGGATCCTCTGGAATAGTAAGTGCTCTTAACTGTTAGCCATCTCTCCAGTCCCCTTAATACTATCCATTTCCTGTGCTAGTTATAATGGAATAAGGAGGGGCTTCTCTCCTGAGCCCCGTTTTCATACAGTCCTGTCAAGCGATCGGTGCTGTTTGGTAAAAATACTGACCTACACAACATTTCAAGTATATTTACTCTTTATTGCATTCCTTCAATTTGCATTACACAATATAATATTTATCTTTTTCAATATAATTTTGGACAAAAACACAAGACATTAACTTCATTGAACAAGAAACATAAGTTAATCCATACACGGCTTTGTTGGGAGGAGAAAGGCAGGACCACAGACAACAGGGACCATGGTGATGGACGGGGACCACGGTACTGGCCACAGGCATCACAGTTTCACAACACAATCCACTCTTCTAAAGCCACAAAATAAGCCAGGGATGAAAACCCAAAACGAAGTATACAGACAGCAAGATTAGGAGATGATTTGCCTTCTACTGGGGGACAGTGTCAGAGTCATAGCCAGGTGCCCCTGTGGCATCCAGCCTCCTGGATGACTGCGGATCACTGTCTTGTGTTTTTAGCAGCAGCGGGGACAGGGGCATGCTCCCTAAGACTCATCACCACAAATGACGACCTAATTAAATTTCTTCTAACCCACTGATTAGACAAATCACCCTCCAAAGGGCTGGGTGTGTTCCTCCTGTTTTGGAAGAACTGAGCACACTGGAATGGATATTCAAGGACTGAGAGAGGACTAGGAGGTGGCTGTTTTGCTGGGTAGTAGTGTTTTATTTATGTGCTTTAGACATTACAGATCACTTGAGATGCAGGGAGAGTAAATTATAAGCCCTTCGGCGGAGGAAAAGGAAGAGGATGGTACTAAGAAGCCTCTGACGTCATCCCAGGGAGCTGACCCACTTACAGTTGGACACTAATTAGAGCTGAGAGGCTTGTAAATTATTTTAATATTTTTTTTCTGTTTAGAGATGTACAGCTTTCCATATGTATCTTTCATAAGGTTTTAACAGCATCTACCAAGTGGTAATGATTAGCATATCTCTTACCACAGAACAAATTAATTATACTCAGGGCATATCACAGCCACCACAGGAATGATGGGACTTCCGATTAGGAAAGCTCTCTTGATTGCAACTTGGAAATATCTCTGAAAATGATTGAGAACAGCATCTTAGACATTCAAAGCCTGCTTCTTCAGACAAAGATAATAACCCATTCTGTGGAAGAACCTCTTAACCAGATAGCCAGCTGTTAGCACGGAGGAGCACTAAGTGAATCCCTCGGAACTTCCACCTTCGCTCTTGGTCACGTGCAGAAGCCTACCTTCTGGTAGGCCAAGTGTTTTCTAGGGGTGGGCGTGGTGGGAGCAGCGTGCACAGGTGCAGCGTGCCTCCCACGTAAGCAGGAATCATCTTAGCTAGCATGGGCGGTGAGCACAGTGGTCTAAAGCAAGTTTACACCTTCCAGGGAACAGCAGGGTATCTCAAAAGCACGAGGGAGTTCACTGCACTAATCATGCAGAGCAAGTGTGTTGAGGGTGGTGAGTGTGTCACTTAGTCCGGTGTCTTGAGTACAACGAGTGACGATCCCAGGCCATCTTTACCTTGGTCACTTCCCTTGGTCACCGCTGTAAACAGTCCGTTTTCAATCAAAGTCCAGAGGGCTACTGCAAAAGAAATTCCAAAGCAGACACAAAACCATGAGCTCTTCCAAAAAAAATTCACCAAGAAATCACTAAAAGCTTCCTGTTTTCTCTACATTTTCCAACATGCATTTGCTATTTGATGGGCATTTTCTAAAAGAAAATGGTCACAGCTCCACGCATTTTAAAAGCAGGTTCCAATAAATATG